GAGGGCCAGGAGGTCTCCCCTCAGCCTCCTCTTCTCCAGACCAAAACGGGGCCCACAGCCCATGTGAGACACGGCCACAGCGACACACCCCTCCCTCAGCGCTACAAGGTGAGAATGAGAGGGCAAGCCTGGTCCTCAGCTGCACCTCCGCAGCTTTCGGCTAGTGGTCCAGGGACCACCGCACACAAACGCAGCGTGAAGGATCCCAGAACACAGCCCTCCCCTGGGGGGAAAGGCTGCTGCCCATCAACCCTACACGGCATGTGAGGTGTAAGACATCCAACGGCAAAATCAACCCTTTATTGAGCGCCCAACAGCTCCAGCACCATCCCCCCTCTACAGAGAGCGCCCCGTCCCCCCGCACCATGCAGAGCCTCTCAGACACCTCTTGCAGCGTTTAATTTAGAATAATAGAACAGAACCATAGAATCATCTAGGTTGGAAAAGACCTTGAAGATCATCTAGTCCAGTCTTTAACCTAATTCAGAGGATGTTCAGCCACGTCTCCACCACGCGCCATCTACAACCAGAGCATCTCATCATCGCTCCTGCCACCAGGCCTGGGATGACGGATCGGGGCTGGGAGGCCAGATCTGTTCGCCCTCCCCTATCCAACACCCACCCAAGGACATTTCCAACAGGGCGATGAGGAGGAGCTGACCAAACCCGCAGCAGTGAGCAGGGACCTTCCCTTGGCAGCAGGAGGGAGCGCGTGCTGGGAAGGAGGTGGCGGCTCTGGAGCAGAATTTAGCTGTGACGAGCCACGTGGCAGCGTAAGTGAAATTGGCATTTTCAATTTGTACTCTGACATGTCTCATTTGGGGCCCTGGCATCTCGGGAAGGCATCCAGCCTGCAGCTGTCCAAAACACTTATTTGCATCTCTCTGCCCCGGCTGCTTTTGGAAATTAGTTCTTCTGGGAGGTGGGCTGGAGGAAGAAGAATAGGGGAAGAGGGAGAGAAAGCATTAACTCTTCATGCACCAGCCCCGAGAGAGCAACAGGGCAATCGCACGAGAGACAGTGTCCCTCTGGGAAAGGATCCTGTGCTGAGGCTGCTGCATTTGTGGTGACACGGAGCTGGAGCGGGCAGCGGGGAGCAGCCGGGAACGCAGGACTGTGCGGAGGGAAGCAGCAGGCAGGAGCAGGAGCAGGAGCCATCGCCCTGGCTGGCCCTGGTGGTGGAGGATCACCAGGGGAACAGGGACATCAATGAAAAACGTGTCCTTGGCCTCTGCACGTCCGTCAGCGGCCTCTCACCTGCCCTGCAGAAACGGGCAGCTGCTCCATGGCTGGGATGCCGTTAGCGGTCCCCGCGGGATGCCGGAGCTGGAGTCACGGCGCGGCAGCATGTGGGCACGACCTGCAGCCACAGGGGCTCAGGGCTCGGCCTCCCGAGACGGCGGCATCCATCAGATCCCCCTCCGATTTCCACAGCACGTCTCATTTCGAAGGACATTTTCAGAAGGCCTCCTCGCAGCTGCTTCTGCCGGGCAGGCAGCAGCATCCAGGCCGCAGCAGCCGAGCAAAGCAGTGGACACCTTCCAGCCCCGGAGACCCCACAACCAGCAGGGATCAGGCTGGGGGTGCTCACCAGTCTGTCCATCCCATGGGATGCAGATGAGATCCCCTGGCCAGCCAGCAGGTCCCATCACGCTGGCTCCTCCCTGCTTCTAGCTAACAGATTGCTAAGCATCCATTAAACATTTAACTGTTATTAACTTCCTGGTTAATCAATTGCTGTGGTTGGCAGCAATCTGGGATAAGCCACGGGAAGGGAGGCCAGGACGGGTGTGAGCAGGGGGGATGCACCTACCCAGGCAGTCCTGCTATCAGATCACTTTCTGCTCTGCAAAGGCACCCGGACCCCCGAGCTGTGCCGAAGGAGGATGCGGCACCGCAGCTGCTGCGAGGCCGAGTGACGGGAAAGAGACGTTTCCTCTGGGGGCAAAACACACCCGGCACAGCCCCCAGAGCAAACCAACAGCGCCCAAAGGAGAAGTGTTCTCACGCAGCATGGTCCACACATCGGGATGGGAAAAAAGGGGTCACTGAGTGAGTCAGCAAGAGAGATGTGAGCTGCCTGGCCCCTGGCCTAACCCACCCAGCCTTTCTGGCCCTCTCTGGAAGAGCCTAAAGGGCAAACACGGAAGGGCTGATGGAGGATGCAGCAGCCCCACCAACCTGCATACAGCTACTCCCAGCAAGGTCTCCTTCGGCGAGGATGTGGTCGAGGCAAAAGAATCCCTTGCTAAGCCCTTCTCAAGGCTCTTCACTCAAAACTTATCTCAGGCATCTTCCCAAGTAACAGCAGACGACTTCATGCGCTTCTCATGTCTCCGATTTGCACACCCGCTCTGTTTCCATGCAGGGGATGCCCACCACGCTGCGAGAGCTGTGGGTGCCACCTCACCTGAGGGTCTCACTTTTGGTTCTAGCAAGTCCACTGCTCGCCCACCAGCTAGCAGCCACGGGCACCGAGAGCCACCCAGCTGCCCTTGGGGTGAGGGATTCAGCACCCTGAGAAGGCGCCCCCGTGGACCTGCACTCCCAGCAGACAGAATCCCATAATCATCCAGGTTGGAAAAAACCTTGTAGATCCTCCAGCCCAACCATGACCCTCACCCTGACCCTTCCCAACGCCCCCAGACCCCTCAGCCCTGGCTCAGCCCGACTCTTCAACCCCTCCAGGGATCCCGGGGACTCCCCCCCTGCCCTGGGCAGCCCATTCCAACGCCCAACAGCCCCTTCTGCACAGAAATCCTTCCTCAGAGCCAGCCTGACCCTGCCCTGGGCAGCTTGAGGCCATTCCCTCGGGGCCTGGCGCTGGGGCCTTGGCTCCAGAGACTCATCCCCCCTCTCTGCCCCCTCCTGGCAGGGAGTTGCAGAGGGCCAGGAGGTCTCCCCTCAGCCTCCTCTTCTCCAGACTGAACCCCCCCAGATCCCTCAGAGCCTCAGTCAGCGAGGGGACACCCCAAATCTGCAGGCAGATCACACTGAGATGCGCTTTGGGATGCTCCTGACAGAACTGCACCAACTAGCCAAGGCACTAGCCCTTTCCCACCCGGACGAGGCCCCGCAGCCGTCACCCCTGCCGTGGGGCATCTGCCCCACTCCAGCCACAACCTGCACAACGCAGCCCCGAGGAAGGCAGCGAGGGGCTGCTCCTGCGAGCAAACCCCCATATCCAAATTCCCCCTGCAGCCCCCCTCCCTCCCACACGCACCATCCCCCTGGGCTGCGTTGCTGGAGGAGCACTTGGGCTGCAGCTGTGTCCTATTTTTCTGTAGTTGATGACCTCAACTCCTTCCCCGCACTACGGGGACGACAGTAATGTACATCGCGTCTCGCCAGGGCTCAACTGCAATTCATCATTATTTTATCTGCTGGAATTTAATTGGATCCTATCAAACTCTCCTGATACTCCCTTTTCACTTTAAACACTGCTGCAGGAAAGATAAATGTAGGCACTGCTAGGATGGAGAGCACGGCTTTGTTGGCGAGCGGTGCTGGGGTTGTGGGCTCCAATCCTTCCCGCTCCATGGCTGGTTAATTAGAGATACACATACTGGAGGTGTGCGGCGCTCGGAACGGGGCATGTGCCTATGATTTATGTTCCTCTATAAATACACCCTAGGCCTAGTAAAATACCGTCAGCCACACAACAGCACAACTTGACGGCAACACTTGGCCTCTGATTCTGGATCTCCTTTTGCTCTTTTCACATAAATCTCTTCTTTTCCTCCCCCATCACACACAAGCTTTTTTGCCTGGATTCCTCCTGCCCGAAATTTGGCAGGGTGTAAGTGAGAACCTGAGACCCTGGGAAGATGTCAGAGCAACACCCAGGCTCCACCACAATAAAAAAAAACCAAACAGAAAACATGAATCTACCAGGTCTTGCTTGCCTTCCCAGCATCCACGCCTGGGGCTGGGTACCGCTCGCACGCCCACCCCACTAAGCCCAGCTTAATCTGCACCCACATCACTTTGCCACGGGAATAAACCGCCCCTGGGGGAACATCCTGACCCGAGCCTGGCAGAGGGGAGCGACCTCCGGAGCCCCAGCTGGAATGGGTGGGCAGGGTGGGCTGCCCGTGCCCGGGGGATCGGCGAGGAAGGAGCCAAAAGGGAACCAGGGAGGTGACACAGCTGCTCCGCACCACGCGGGGCTTTGGTTAAAAGGAAAGGGAAATAATTGAGGCGTGAGGCTTAATTTAAAGTGCTGAGACGACAAACTCAAATGCTCATAGGAAGGAGATCAGGGGTTCTTTGTATTTTTACATTTAAAGGGAAAGAGCAGCTCTGGGGCTATTTCAGCCTTAAGAGGAACATTCTGGTGAGAAAAAGTCAAACCCTTGGCAGAGAGGAACACCTGTAACTGTTTTGCCAAGGCCAGGACTAAACCAAAGTCCAACATTTCAAACAGTAGTACAGATTCAGGACTGTGGTACTTTCCAATGGCAAAATTGTCTATTTTTTGCAGCAATAAGAAGGATGAGGCCCCTCGAGGAACGGCAGATGGGAAAGGACAGGAATAGGCAGGGATGCTTGGGAAATGACCCTCAGTAGCATTACCTGCACACATTAAGACAGTGGCCGTTTCTCCATCCTCCGCTGAAAGAATCAAGCCTGGAAATGTCTGCCTCCAGAAAACTAAAACTAACCAATTAACAAAAAAATAGTTTGCTGGCAAAGAGTTTCATTTTCTTAGTTAGGCTTGTCTTTCCCTTTTGCGTCTTCACAATGCCTGTGGAAAACCTTTAGGGTTGCTTTCCTTTTGAGGAGCAGAAAGAAACCAAAGTGAGGGGGCAGAAAGGGATTTTTCCTGCTTGGTTTTTGCCCTGGGATGCTGGGGAACACCAGGCCTGCTCTCCCTTGAGTTTGCTGAAGATCCATTGGGTGTCTCAAATGATGTTTATAGTCCACACTCAAACCTTAATGAATGGGCTGCTGAATATTTAACCAAGATGTCCTTTCTTCAAAGTGCTAACAAGTCACTGGAGTTTGACAAGCACTAAAACTAAACAAAAGACAAAAGGTTTTAAGCGGGCTTGACTTATTATCCCTTCCATTCACCCACCATTCAGGAAAGCATCCCTAATTCCACAGAGTAATTAACCTCTTGTTTAGATCCCATTGAACTCGTGGAAACAAAGTGTGCTTAAATGCCTTCCCAAGGAGAGGACACCCATTCCTCACTCCCTGGCTGGGAGGCTGTCATCCTCGCCCTGTCCCTCCACTCCTCTGTGTCTCCCACACCAGGCAGGGCCCAAAATCCTAACCCGAAGGATGAATCGCAGTGGAAGAACCTGGTGGGTCATGGGTGGGGGACTGTGCAGAAGTGCTATCAACCAGCCAGATGGACTGCAAAAAAAGACAGGGAGGAGGCAAGCATCACAGAAGTGTGAATCTGAATCCCCCACACCATAAAGCAGCCTGGCTACATGCCCTCAAATGTTAAAGCAGGCGAGCAGACCCTGAAAGCAAGACAGCTTCTTTCAAGCCAAAACTCTCATCTTCCGTCTGTGAAGCCACCCTGTGCCTGGAAGCCAGGTCTCCTGCCTGAGACCATGGCCCCGGGGACCTGCTGCTGCCCGCTCCAGTGCCCACAACACCTCCCCATGCGCTCCCCAGCCGACCTGCTTTGCTTTCAGGGCATCCCTGGCAATTTTCAGGTCAAACATCCATCACTGTCAGTCCATGAGAAGGTGTCGGTCACCTCAGCTCTGCATGGAGACCACAGCATGGGCAGAGACTCCTCAAGCTGTCCTGTCCCTTTGGAGGAGAGCTGCAGAGGCCGTGCAACTCATCACACTGACAAGGGCTCACAAAGTGTCCCCACAAAACTGGGGACCAGCAAATCACCAGGGATTAAAGTCTGCCAGCCAACAGCCACTTCCCCCAAGGACATCCCAGGTGCTGATGCAGCTCTGCACCCAGCCGGGACCCCTGCAGGGACAAGGAGGCCACATTTCTTCCACACTCTGCAACAGGGCAACGGTTCCCCCAGCCCATTCACAGCTGCAGGTGCTCTGGAAGAGGGACAGGCACAGGCACGCTGCAGAACAGCTCTGGAATGGCCAAGCAGGTACCTGGTGTTAACCAGGACAAGAGTGGCTTGACTGAGCCTCAAAACACGTCCCACGTGGCTGGGATGGAGACAGAGCAGCCAAGCTTGGCTACCAGCATCCACGAGACCCCAGCAAAGGGACCCCTGTGACCGTGATGTCTCTTTACACACACATCCCTCATGTTCCCCTTGAAGCACTAACGCTGAGCCACGCAGGCGACAGGCAAGACGGGGTCTGTGGGCAGATCTGTGTGACAAAACCCTGGTGAGGGACACGATCAACACCAGGGACCAGCAGCAGCCAGCTGCACTGGGCAGCCCTCCACCTGGCTGCTTCTCTTCCCTGAATGGAGCAGCGGGATGACAAACCCTGGCTTAATGCACCTCGCTAATGGGTTCTTGCAGCAGAGCCCTCCAGACACCACTCTGGTCACAGAATCAGAATCCTCTGGGTTGGAAAAAACCTTGCAGCTCCTCCAGCCCAACCATGACCCTCACCCTGACCCTTCCCAACTCCCCCAGATCCCTCAGCGCTGGCTCAGCCCGACTCTTCAACCCCTCCAGGGATCCCGGGGACTCCCCCCTGCCCTGGGCAGCCCATTCCAACGCCCAACAGCCCCTTCTGCACAGAAATCCTTCCTCAGAGCCAGCCTGACCCTGCCCTGGGCAGCTTGAGGCCATTCCCTCGGGGCCTGGCGCTGGGGCCTTGGCTCCAGAGACTCATCCCCCCTCTCTGCCCCCTCCTGGCAGAGAGTTGCCGAGGGCCAGGAGGTCTCCCCTCAGCCTCCTCTTCTCCAGACTGAACCCCCCCAGTTCCCCCAGCCGCTCCCCAGCAGACCTGTGCTCCAGACCCTGCCCCAGCTCCGTTGCCCTTCTCTGGCCATGCTCAAGTCACTCAATGGCCTTTTTGGGGTGAGGGGCCCAGAACTGAACCCAGGAATCGAGGTGCAGCCTCACCAATGGTCCTGCTGCTCCCTGGAGCACTCTGTGTCGCTGCCTGCGGTCGCCCCCAGGCCAAGCACAGACCCACTGACAACTCAGGACTCGGGCCCAGGAGCATTTCTGCTCCTCGCAAACTGCGTTTTGCCGAGAAAGAGCCCTGAGAGCGCAGCATCCCCCCGGCACTGCTGCCCAGGGCAGGAGGCAGCGACTCAGGATGCTCCTCCAGCCCAAAGGCTCTGCAGCCGCAGGAGCCCAGGGGGAGGGAGGGAGCCAGGGCTCATCTTCAACAGCCTCTAAATGTCACTCGTGCCACCGAAGGACAAGGGAGCAGGGATCGGTGCAGCAAATGAGCTTTCACAGTGTGAGTGATGGAAAACAAATTTTCAAAGGATTAAATGCGGGGGAGACAGGAGGGGCCGGCTCCATGCGGACGAGGGCAGGTCGGGGGGCAACGCCAGCTCCTGGGGGGGGTCTATTAACACCCTGCGTGTGTTTGCTGGTGGGCTTGGTGCTCCCTGCATGGGATTGCTGCATGGCGAGGGGCTCAGAGCTCTCAGAGGGGCCACAAAACATCCTCTCACTTAGGGATAAGGCAACTGGAGAGAACAGAGCTGCCTGCAGAGGAGAGCTCAAGGTACAGAGCCGCAGGGAGGCAGGAAGATGCACCAGAAGGGCTGGGATGGAGGGCGGGCAGAGGGATGGAGCAGGGGTTGGAGCCAGGGAGGGACAAGGACTGCAGGGGACAGACGGGGGCCGCAGGGGACAGAGAGAGGCCGCAGGGGAGGAGGGGGAGTGCTGGCAGGGCTGGCAGGCAGGCTGCAGGCAGAGGAGTGTGTGTGCAGCGGGACAAGGAGATGGCGTTAGCTCCATCCCGCCTGTAAAGAGGGACGGGATGGTGTCAGGGGGAAGCAAGAGCAGGCAGAGAGAAGGGGGAGGCAAGGCTCTGGCACATTCGGGCCAGCTGGCTGCAGCCCAGGCAACTTTCTTCAGCTTTCCAAAGCCAATTTCCTTGGAAGTGCTCCGAAAGCCTGGCAGCTCCCCCGGGGTGGCTCTGGCATTGTTCCTATCCAGAGCGACCCCGAGCAGCAGCCCCTCGCCCCAAGCACCAAGGGGAAGTGGGGAGGAGCCCACCTTGCACCCCACAAGCACCAGAAACCCCCGTTACCTGCCCGTGGGAGAGCAAACGTGGCCATGCAACAAGCCGAGAAGGTCCCGGGGCAGGGCAGGAGCGAGCAGCCCGGTAAGGAAGGCAGCGCCGAGGCCGGGCGCACACTCACCGAGGTGTTCTGGCACTGGATGCTGGTGCTGTTGAAGCGCAGGGCGGTGACGCGGGTGGTGCTGCCGGGGATGTGGAAGATGCACTCGTAGTTGCGTTGGCCCGACTGCGGCTGGGGCAGGTTCTTGGCTGTCAGGGTGATGGGCTTCACCACGCCCACGGGGATGTAGATCTGGGTGGAGGGCAGGATCTGGGGACAGTCCTGTGAGGGGAGCAAGGGGCGGATGATGAGAGGGGGAACACCACACAGCCTCCTCCAGCACCCCTACGGCCCTGCCCTGGCTGGCAGGCCGGGCAAGGTGCTGTGAAAATACCACCCTGAGCACACGCTGGAGTAAATCCTTACATGTAGCCAACCCCAAAGCAGGATCTCGGGGCTGCTCTGAGCAAAGCCCTGCAGAGAGAAAAGGAGAGCACAGAGGAATGCGGTGGCAGGGCAGCGGGGTGTTTCCAACAGCTCGGGTCAGTCCAGGTGGGAGGTGGGAAGAGGATTCAGCCATGGGACCTGAAACCTGGCACGGTGACAGCAGCACACATTTGGGCAAAATGACTGATAACAACATGGACATTAGCATCACCATTTCAGTCAGTAGGTTTCAGAGTTAACGCCCACTTGGCTGTGGGTGTCAGGCTACCCTCTCAGCCCTCCTGTTGCCCTTAGAGACTCCATCTCTCTTCTTTCACAAGTGGACAGAAACGCCTTTTCCCCCTTTGCTTCTACAGTATTGCAAAGAACCTGCTCTGTGCCGAATTTTGCCGCTGCTTCTATCTGTGGCCAGCTCAAAGCAGCATCACCCCGACCAGCCCAGCTGCAGGCTGCCCACAGGACAGCCCCTCTGGTGAGGAGGATGCTGGGGAGTCCAAGCCTGGGAGGAAGGCAAGGGCAAGGGGGTCAGCACCCCCCTGCCACCCCCCGCGATCCCCAGAGGAGGAGCTGTTGGGAGGGCAAAGCACTCGGCTTTTAATAGCCACTGGCTCCCAGCTGCTCCAGGGGAGCCCGGGAGCCTTGTGCACAAAGCACAGGGGAGCAGAAGGGAGCAAAAATAAATGAGCTCAGGCAGCAAAACAGCTCCGCAGCCCCACTGGGTGCCACTTGGGCGACAGCAGCCTGATGCAATCCCACGCCGGCTTTGCTGAGCCAGGTGGAGGTCTCGCACCTACAGGAACGACTCCTGGAAGCGCCGCCTTGAAATAACATCAAGGGGGAATAACGTGAGCTGAAACGAGCTGCTCTGAAAACAGAAATGGCAGCAGCAGCAGTGCTGGAGGTGGATGCAGCCACCTCGCTGCTCTCACAAGGCTGCCACAGCCGTAGGGGCAGCTCTCACCCCAGGGCCACCAGCAGCCACACGTGGCCAGTGCTGCCCGGCTGCCTCTTGCCACCCCGCACCGAGCTGGCATGGACCCTGCACAGCATCGGGCTTTATCTCAGCTGGTAAGATTAATCTAACTTTCAAACAATGGAAAGAAATGAAAAATAAATTGTTTCATTTAGTAAATATTGACAGAAAACTCCCAACTCATTTTTACTCTAAGTTTCCAGTTCTTCACAAGCCTATATGCCCCAAAAGCACAATTTTTAAGGGAAGAAACTCTTTATCTCCGAAACATGCTAAACACAATGAAAGCAGAGAGGAACAGCGGTGCCAGCCCCAACCCAGAGATGGTGGCAGGGCTGGGACAGTCTGGGGACCCTCGATGTCGCTCTGCCACCTCCCTGCTCTGTATCACGGCTGCCCCTCTGCAAAGGGGGGCTTCAGCTGCTCCCCCTTCCCAATGAGCTCCAGGCATGCAGCAGGGAGACCCTGCGTGCCCGCTGCCATTTGTAACGACTGGCTCCCGCTGCTGCAAGGCGGCTGCTCTGCTCCACCTCTGGCTCAGAAGCGCTGATGGAGGGAGAAGTTCTCGCCTGCCTGATCCCCCTCCGCATCGCAGGGGGAGCCCACGGGTGGCACATCTTCCTCACAGGGCACACACATATTCGGCAAGTACTAGCTCCCAGCTTGTTCCCCAACGCCTCCACCTCACAGAACCACAGAATCATCCCGGTTGGAAAAGCCCCTGACCATGACCCTCCCCATGACCCTTCCCAACTCCCCCAGATCCCTCAGCGCTGGCTCAGCCCGACTCTTCAACCCCTCCAGGGATCCCGGGGACTCCCCCCTGCCCTGGGCAGCCCATTCCAACGCCCAACAGCCCCTTCTGCACAGAAATCCTTCCTCAGAGCCAGCCTAAACCTCCTCATTTTTCTGTCATTATTGCTGCCGATCCAGCCAGGGCGATGGGTAAGCCCACGCCACCCCAGCTGGGCTCATCAGGGATGCTCCCAAGACCAGTGCCTGGCGCACATGCGTCCCTCTCCCCACGCAGGCAGGCAGGCAGGCTCGTTTTGCTGACTCGAGGTTTGAGCCGAGTCCCCCTGCGACGTCACATGTTCCGCATCTGCCAGCAGAAGTGTCTCATCCAGCAAAAATGTCAGCCTGCGCCCAAACAGGAAGCACCTGGTGCTGGTGGGCGCCCGGTGTGCCCGGAGGGGTGGGGGCACTGGGACAACACACTTCCCCTACGAGTAATTCCAACCGCTGACTAAACTCACCCCAGCATCGCCCAGCACCGACACCCCGTGGGAACGCCCCGCACAGCCCACTGAGCTCCCCGCGGTGCCCGAAACAGCCCCCCCGGCAGAGCCCCACCTCCCCGGAGCAGGGAGCTGTGCAAAGGGACGGGACGAGGAGAAAAGCAAGACCCCGCACACGCACATTCCCAAACATCGCACAGCTCAGATTTTCTCCATTTGAACTGTTTTTCTAGCTGCTGGAGAACGTGACAGGAGCGTCCAAGTTTGGTTGGAGAGGTGGGAGCTGCAAACCCGGCGGTTTGGGTTCCTCTGGCAGCTCCCAGCTCCACCAGCAAGGCTGTGCCACCAGCAGAGGTGAAGCCAGTCTGGGGCTGGGCTTGACCCTGGCTTTGAGGTTCCTTCACAGAACCCTCAGTGGTGCGGGAATGAAGAACAAGCACGAGCCGAACCTGCTTAGACTGAACCAACACACTTGGTCCCCGCGGGTCGGAGCTTTCCAGCCCCCAGAGCAGCTCTGCACCAGCAGGGACTGTCACGGGAGAGCAGCTTTTTGGGATGGGAGACTCCAGCGTTCAACACCGATCGCCCCGCGGCCACCACTGGGCACCACCAGTGGGGAAAAGCGAAGAGCCTGTGCTGCTTCATCCCCCTCGCCCAGCCCCGCGCAGCCGAGGGCAGTCTCCGCAGACCAGGCTTCAAAGGCACAGCAGCCGGGGGGCAGGGACATCCTTCCTCCTGACGCCCATCCCAGGCACGCTGATGGGAGCGGTGGTTCCTACCCACACCCTGTTCCTGCCCTGCCACCCCCAGAAATCCAGGCAAACACCCCCAGCACGCCCAGGACAGTGCTGTGGGTCACTCTTTACATTCTGGAAACCAGCAGAGACGGAGTTAAGTGCTGCTGTTAACCCCTGTCCCTGCCTCTCCTGACCAGTGCCAACACTCCAGCCAACGCAGATGGACCAAATCCTCCTTAAAATAACCCCCCCAGTTAGACGTCCTCCCACGGAGGGGATGGGGCTGGACCATTAACTCATCCAGCAGGCCACAGGCTGGCACTGAGCCCCCCCACCCACCACAGCACCCCGCTGGGGACCCGGACAGCGGGGACAGGATGCCTCATCCCAGCCTGGATACACAACCCACAGCAGCGGCTGCTCTGGGGGTGTCTCACCATCCCCGCCGGGAACTGCTGAGGCCACACCAACGTGCAAACAGGCTGAGCCAGGCGCTCCAAACCTCAAACCAGGCACCGCTCCAGTGTGGCCAGAAGGTCTGCTGGGGGACAGCCGGCCCGTGCTCGGGAGCAACGCGAGTCCTGGAGCAGCTGGTCCAGGGGAGAGCTGCACGTGGGTTAGGAGCGACTGCTGAGGGAACTGGGGGGGTTCAGTCTGGAGAAGAGGAGGCTGAGGGGAGACCTCCTGGCCCTCGGCAACTCCCTGCCAGGAGGGGGCAGAGAGGGGGGATGAGTCTCTGGAGCCAAGGCCCCAGCGCCAGGCCCCGAGGGAATGGCCTCAAGCTGCCCAGGGCAGGGTCAGGCTGGCTCTGAGGAAGGATTTCTGTGCAGAAGGGGCTGTTGGGCGTTGGAATGGGCTGCCCAGGGCAGGGGGGAGTCCCCGGGATCCCTGGAGGGGTTGAAGAGTCGGGCTGAGCCAGCGCTGAGGGATCTGGGGGAGTTGGGAAGGGTCAGGGTGAGGTTCATGGTTGGGCTGGAGGAGCTGCAAGGGCTTTTCCAACCTGGATGATTCTGATCCTGTGTCCCAAAGACAACACCCCTGCAGCCAGATGCTTTTGGGTTTGCAGGGCAGGGAAGGGGGAAGAGCCCAGTAGCCTCACCCTGCCCTCAGTGAGGGGAACCGGCAGACGAGAACCACCAGGCTCCAGCGGTCTGGACACCACGCACTGTGTTTGCAGAAGCAATGCCAGGGCTGGCTGGAAGCACGACCTCAAGAGCAGGCTTCTGGGATGCCTGGGACAGGCCAATACCTCACTGGATTTCTTCAGGGCACAAGCAAGGAGAAAACAGCTTTTTCTGATCTCCTCACATGACCAAATCCCTTGTTCTGGCTCGTGTCAGACACGCTCCAGTACACGAGCACAGTGCAACCCCCCTGCACTTGGCTGATACCCCCAGGGGGGTGAGGGACAGTGTCAGAGCCTGGAATTTGGTCAGTTGGTGGAAGGCACAGCACAAAGCCATCACTGCACCATCTGAGAGGCTGGCAAAGGGCGGCACACCGGCAGCTGTTGGCTCCCCTGGGACACGGGACAGGAGGGGCTGTTTGATGAGCAGAGTCTCATTCCCAAGGCCTGCCTGTTGCCATGCAGAAATGACAAGCACCAACCCTGCCTGCCCATGCCCGGGAGTGATGGTTGGGCTTTTCCAGCTCTCCCAATGCGCTTGGCTAAGAGGCAAATTCACTCAGCTCCACGTTCAGAAGAAGGATCACAACGAGAGCCCAGCATGGCCCCACGCAGAGACACCACCACCTTCTGCGAGGCCATCCACTCCTGACGTCCTTGGAGGCTCCAAACTGGGGAGCACCCAAGCACGAGACCCAAGCAGCTCTCTTGGCAGGTTACAAAGCTCAAATGTTCCCCCCAGACACAGCAGCTCCCCTGGCAGAGGCAGCAGGACCAGGGACTCTGGCTTTCCAGAGATGCGGTGTGTTGACCCTGGCTGGGTGCTGGGTGCCCACCAAACCACTTAGGTGAGGGCCAAGGTCAACACACCCCAAGAAAACAGGCGAGCCATGCAGGGCTCAGCCCCAGTAGATGGGAATATGCTCATCCATCCATCCATCCATCCATCCATCCATCCCATCCCTGGCACAAAAGTGATGGGTGCTGCTGGTGGCTGGAGACTGGCTGAGTAACAGCCCAGCTCTCCCATTCTCTCGTGTGAGAGAGCTCTTCAAGTGATGAGAGAGGCTGAGGGGTAGGAAGGGGAAAAAAATTGGGGTGTATCAGCCAGAGGGATTTGTCTGACTCCACAGAATCACAGAATCATCCGGGTTGGAAAAGCGCTTGCAGCTCCTCCAGCCCAACCATGACCCTCACCCTGACCCTTCCCAACTCCCCCAGATCCCTCAGCGCTGGCTCAGCCCGACTCTTCAACCCCTCCAGGGATCCCGGGGACTCCCCCCTGCCCTGGGCAGCCCATTCCACGCATGTTCCCAGCCCAGCACGGACGCAGGGAGGACAACAGCCCTGATCTAGGACAGCCACGAGCCCACCAGGCCTCACCAAGGATAGGGCAGTCCTCAGAAGACACAATCTAAAGGGGATGGAGATTCCCTCGGAGTCACTGCTCCTCCCGAGGGGGGACATGCAGAGGCAGGCTTCCTCTCAGTGCCAGCCAGGACATCAAAGACCTTGGGGGACATTTCACTTGCCTTCACACATGATCTGTGAAGCGAAGACAAGCCGTCCTTGTTCGCCTCTGCTCCGGGGGATCAGTCCTGGCCTGGGAGGCTGCTGGGACACCAGCTCTGCCACAGCTCAGAGACTGAACTTTATTTGAGATCATCTGGACAAACGCTTTCTCCAGAACAACACCCGTGTGGGCCATTCCCGTGAGGACACCGTATGGATCTGCTCCCAGCAGCAACCATCAGGCAAGCAGGACCCTTCCCACCAGGCCCCTACACAGGCAACTGGAAACCCAGGGAAGTTCAACCCGACCCCTTTTCAGGACAGGGACAGGGGAGAAACTCTGCTTCCCCAAACTCTCCCTTCAGGACCCGAATCAGCATTTACTGTCGAGCCAGCAGTTGTTTGCAGACATTCAGACCCAACCCAAGCTGCCAGAAATGCCACCACAGGTTGGGGACACCAGGACCTCCCGCAAGCACCCTGCCAGTGACAGGTTTCCCCGGTGGGTGGCACAGATGCTGCACGGGATGAACCCCCACAAAAGAACATGTTTCTTAGAAAAGCATTTGAGACGAAGGAGGCGTGAGGTGTAGCAAAACGGTTTGTTTTACAGATTTCAACCTTCCCCTCTCTGAAAACAAGGTGTTCTGCAATGACAGTTCAAGCTTGCTCCCTTCAGAAACATCAAAGGAAAATGCTTTAGCGTCTCTGCCTTTGTTTTTTCCCTTCATTCAGCCTAAAGTGTTCCGGCTGTGCCCGGCTTCCCAAGCAGCCTCTCCCCACCAGCGCGCGGTCCCGGCAGCATGTCCCACTCCTCCCTCACCACTTCCCGGGCAGCCCCAGCACCCCGGGCAAGGCGGTGGGAAAGGTTTTCTCCAGCGGTTTACCCCTAGGGCAGGGGTCCGGGACAGGACGGGGACAGCGGCTCGCATCGCCTTACCTCCGAGAGCTTGACGCGTCCCTCCAGGAAGGAGCAGTCGGCGGCGTTGTGGGTGCAGATGTGGCGGTACTTGCACCAGTGGCAGGGGAAGGAGCCGTTCACACAGGACAGGCAGCTGCGGGCAGAGAGAAGCAGGGCAGCGTCAGGGCAGCGGCAAGGCAGGGTCTGCCGGGGCAGCTCTCGGGGGTGGGAAGGACCCCCCATGCGTGGGGCGAGGGCCGTGCCGGCTCCCCCCGGAGCCCCGCGTTTGCCCACCGCAGGGTGAGGGGAAAGGGCCCTTCCGGCCCCGCAGGGTTTGTGCCCCCGCCACAGCGGCCACGCTCCCTCCTCCGCTTGGCAAGCTTGACCCTGCGCGGGCCGGGGCCGCGCTCCAGACTTTGGGAGCTTTATTTGGGTTCACTGAAAGGCGATTTTAGCAAGAGGCAGCAGCAGAACAAGAGCTCTGCACTGCGGGGGGACTGGGGCAGAAAGGGCCAGATTAATGCACGCTCATTGAGAGGAAAATTATAACTGGCGAGAGGTTGGGTCAGATTAACATTTCGGGACTGTAGCGCCTTTCAGCCGCTCACAATAGGTTGTGTGTGACCCCCTCCCTCGGCCCCAGCCCTCCGCAGCCGCGCGTGCGTGCGTGTGTGTGTGCGCTTCCACCCCTCCCTCCGACCCCGAAACGTTTCTGTCCCTCTCCCCCGGCTCCTCTCGGGCTCTTTGTGCGGTGGGATCCCACGTGTGCCCCCACAACCTTCCTCGCCTCTCTCTGGGGATGCGCTCGGGCACCCGGCACTGCCAGGAGCCCCCCACTCTGCTCTGCACCCCCCTCCCCAAAGAAACCAGCCCCAGAGACCTGATGCCTCTCCCCCGCCAAAATCACCCCCTCCCAGCACCACGGGATGCCCCTGTTTGCAAGCACGGGGGAGCCCAGGGACTCCTCCGTCAGCTTTTGGGGCCCTCACCCCGGTGTGGATGGAAGGGGCTGAGCCCTCCCCACCACACTGTCGCGGGACATCAACAAAGTCCCAAATTAATGCAACGAGCCTTCACGGGGCAGGTCTGCACCAGGCGTGTCCCGTGCAGCCCCAGCTGCCCGCCGAAGGAGACTGGCGAGCTGCTGAGGCATAAGCTCGAAGGCAAGAAAAATAATGAGGCAAAAAAAAAAAAAAAAAAAAAAAAGCAGCAGCACTGTTTTTCTCCCGAGAAGGCTCATACCTGCTGTCACTGATCCGAGCACGAACGGGATCAGGCCCAAAGCAATTATATTTAAACAAAGGCAGGATCTTCCCCTGAACACAGCTCTGGCAGGAGGCAGGCAGCCCTGCCCAGCCTGATCCCACTCCTAAATCACAGCTCCGTCTCTGCCTCTACCCCCCAGGAAATGACAGGGAAAACAGAGCATCACCACGGGAGGTGGAAGGAAGAAAAACTTCCTGGAGAGGGTGGCAGGGCCTGGCGCGCTGAATCCCTCACCCTCCAGCAGACTTGTCACTTTGGAGGTGTGGGGAGGCGCAGCGCAGGGCGCAGGCAGCGCAGGGCGCAGGGTGCCAGCGCACACCCAGGCCACGGCTCCCTGCCCGCCCTGGGGTTTCGCACACCATTACATCTACAGCAAGAGCTTCCCAAATCCACGCGCACACACTAAGGAAATATTTAATTAAGCTGCTTGCAAAGGGGGCTGGAAGTCATTTCCATGTTTCGCTCACATTTTCACTTCCAAATGAACAGCCCTTTTAGCTTTACCCACAAATATGCTAATTGAGATGCTCCTTATGCAAATATATGCAATTTTATTTCAGCTGCAGAGATTCAACTTAAAAGCAAAGCCATAGCCTCCTATCTCTGGTTGCTTTGACGGAGGGATGTGCAGAGGGTGGGGGGAGCGGGGGACACAAACAAAGCGCAAGGACGGCTCCTGTCCTCCCGATCAGGGCTCCAGCAGTGACCAGGGGGCAGGTAAATCTGAGCTGTGGAGGCAGCGGGACAGGGACAGCAGGGGTTAATCCTCACGTGAGCCGAGCAACCACAGAGACGTCATGTAAGACAGGAGCATGGTCCAAGCAGCCACGTGCCGGGGCATCACCACCAACCCGCCCCTGAAGCCAGCCCTCTGCCAAGGAGAGATTTCACAGCCACCAGGTCTTTCAGGGTCTGCAAAAAGACTCCCCAGTCGCCCTCTCCACCACCTCGCCTGGCACCTCAAAGCAGTCGGGTGAAGCCCGGGGCACAGCCCTGCCCCGGGGCACCCCAGCACCCAGAGCTGCAGCTCTGCTCTGCAGTTCTTCAGGGCCAATGGCCCAAATATTGGCTATTTTGGGACCCTCCTCACCTGAGGGGCTCCTTTACCATTTAACTACTGCAGGTCCCAGCTGGTCTCCTCTTGTCAAAGGACCTAAAGCACCTCAAGTTATCCTCCTCGTACACCCTGAGGTGCGTGGTTCCCCCTGCCTCTACTTCAGCCCTCCCAGCTGCTTCTAACTTAAGCGAGCCATTCCTCAAGCCCCATCCTCAGAGATGGTTTTCACACTCTCTCTCCTGCCGAGGTTCTCCATCTGCCATAAGGACATCAAATGCTGCTGTAAGAGCACTCACCGTCACACATCTCGCTCCAACAGCATCTCACAGAATCATCGTGGTTGGGAAATCCCTTGCAGCTCCTCCAGCCCAACCATGACCCTCCCCCTGACCCTTCCCAACGCCCCCAGACCCCTCAGCCCTGGCTCAGCCCGACTCTTCAACCCCTCCAGGGATCCCGGGGACTCCCCCCCTGCCCTGGGCAGCCCATTCCAACGCCCAACAGCCCCTTCTGCACAGAAATCCTTCCTCAGAGCCAGTCTATCTCTGCTGCATTTAGAGCCTGGCTGGGTCAGTACCCCCCGGCGGGCCAAAAACTCTGTAAAGTGGTAAGCAAGTCAGTGCTCGGGGGCCAACTACACAGTGAAACCCCATTTCCCGCCTGCCTCGGTCCTACCGGCCTCGGCATGTCCGTCTGACCGCCCCAGCACCCTGCAGGGCTGCCCAAACCCGGGGCAGGAGCCGAGGCAGGGCGCTCCCGGCTGGGCGGCGTGGCCAGTGCCGTACCCCGGCCTGGCCGTGTGGCGCTGCTGTCTGTTCCCAGCGCAGGAGCAGGTTGCTCGGCAGCATGATGCCATCTGTGCCGTCTCTCTCCTTCCCACGGTCAGGCACTCTTCCCTCATCACTTCTTGCCTAAGAGGCTTTCATCACTCCTGATAATTAGAGGGAGGCTCTCCTTCATGTGTTGAAGTCCCCCCCTTCTCCCCGAAGCGTGCCGGGAGTGCAAGAAGCCCAACCAGGGGGGGGGGGGGGGGGGGTAGCGCAGACACGGACCCACAGCCTGCTCCCCATCTGCCTCCTCCCCAGCCCTGCCAGGGGCTAGGAAGAGACAATGCCCAGGCTGGGCAGGGGGAAGGGGGTCAGACCCCGTGGTAGTGCCCCCCGTGCCTCCTGATGCTCTTGGGCAAGAAGAGTTGCACCTCAGCTTCAGCCACATTTCAGGATCACTCTGCGCAAAGGGCCCCATCCCAAAACAAGCCCAGGCTCACCGCTGGCCTGCAACCTCCACCCCGAAAGAGCAGGCAGCCCTGCTGGCAGCAGCTCTGCCCACCTCTGAGTGACCCAGGGGGAAAGATGGAGCCTGTCCCCAGCCTCCACGCTTGCCCCCAACTCACACACAGCTGGGTCAAGCCCTCCTGACGCTGTGTCCCTCCACCTTCGCAACCGAGCTCAAACTTCCCAAGGCCACGCTAAGGAAACACCTGATAAAGCTGCAGAAAAGCTGCAGCGGGAAGAGTGCGGCAAAGGAGCATGTCAGAGCTGGGTGCATCTCCAGGGTGGGTGCTGGGCCACGAGCACGGCTGCAGGACAAGCCCAAGGGTGGCTTTGGGCTCCTTGCTGGGGGCAGCCCTGCAGGAGGCACCTCCGGCCACCACGGCGAGGTCGCCGCTGTCTCCACGCCTGGTCTGAAGCACGGGAAGCCCAGGAAAGCGGGGTCCTCACCCGCTCCTCGCACTGCCAGCCACAGGCGTGCCCCGCGCCCAAAGCGCTTCAGCACACGGAGCCGGGAAGGCCGAAAACAAAACCAGCGTCCACAGGGGTGAGCTAAGACTGAGCAGCAAACGGAGAGGGACGGGGAGCGCGAGCACTGCGCAGGCGCGGGGACACACACACGCAGACACCGAGGCTGCTTCCGTGGGGCAGCACGTTCCTGGAGGAAGGACACGGAGGAGGGATGGGGGAAGCTGAGCAGGACCAAGAGCAGAGCTGGGGAGGGCCACTGAGAAGGGAAATTATAAACATGGTGCTAATGGAAACGGCACAGCCCGCCTGCGAGCCCCCCGACTGCTCCTCAGGCCTCCTCTTGGCAGGAGGATGCATCCTCAGCAAATACTCAGCTCCGCCGTAGCCTGTGTCAGGGGTGAGAGGCTGAACCGCAGCGCTTTGGGGTTTAGATCCATCTCTCCGTCCCAGGGCAAGAGGGAAATCCTGAAGAGCTGTGGGATCAGTGTCCCCCGAGCCCCCGCGGGTAGCCCTGCCCTTCCCCAAAGCCAGGAGGGTGTGAAGGGAGATCAGCTCTCCCCTCCCTCCACCCCTGCCCATCCCAAGCCCTTCCTGCCCTTCCTTTCACACCAGCCCAAGGCTCTTCTGTCCCAGCTGGGTTTTGCCAAGGCCCTTATTCCCAGGGTAGGGGGGTGGCCCAGGGCATCCACCATCACGCTGGCTGGAGGATGCAGAATCGGGCCCTGGTTTTTAAGGTAATCCACTTAAAACACTTGCAGCTGCCTCCCCGCACTGGAACACACCACCAGACTGTGCCCGCCCACCCCGTTCACAACGAACATTACATAAACCAGGTAATCCCGAGCGGTCTCTGGAGCCATCCTGTAGGATTTTCCACCTGCCCCAGCCCAGGAATACACAAGGATCTGTTACCACCTCGCAGCTCGGCCCTGCTAACCCAGACACAAGCACTCAGCTGCTTGCAGCCATCTGTCCATGCCTTTGAAAAAAAAAAAAGAACCTGTAGGCATCTGGGAAGGAGCCACAAGCATTGGGCCAGCGGAGACGCGGCCACACCACGGAGGTGCAGGTGGCCAGAACGGCTGCAGCGAGGAGCCCAGCGACACGAGGGCCCACGGGTGCCAAGGGGTGCTCCGGACATCAGAGCAGCCCAGCCCTGCTCAGCCCCTGGGACGTCTGTTCAAATCCCATTTACTTAATGGGGGCTTATAGGGAAAGCCGGACCTGTGGGACAGGGCCAGGGCAGAGTCCCATCTCTCCAGGCAGCAGCAGCTGGAGCCGCTCGGCACATCTGCCCCTTGCTCCAGCCTTGGAGAAATTCAATACCCTGCAGCTGATGGCCTCAAGCTGCCCAGGGCAGGGTCAGGCTGGCTCTGAGGAAGGATTTCTGTGCAGAAGGGGCTGTTGGGCGTTGGAATGGGCTGCCCAGGGCAGGGGGGAGTCCCCGGGATCCCTGGAGGGGTTGAAGAGTCGGGCTGAGCCAGCGCTGAGGGATCTGGGGGAGTTGGGAAGGGTCGGGGGGGGGTCATGGTTGGGCTGGAGGAGCTGCAAGGGCTTTTCCAACCCGGATGATTCTGGGATTCTGTGAAAACCTACACATAGCACCGAAGGAAGCACCAAAGCTTCCCCGTCCCCCTCTGCTTGCCAGCCCCATCCCTGCAGCCACGCTGCCCGAAAAGCTGAATAGCAACAGGATTTATGGGGTGGAGTTTCCAGGGGAGAAACCCAGAGAGCAAACAGGGAGACAGAGGGAAGAAACGCATCTCGCTATTCGCTGCAGTTGCTCGGTGCCTTTCTGGAAGGGTTCCCCCCTCGCCCACCTCGGCAGCAAGCGCAGGCTCTGCTGGAGACAGGCAGGGAGCCTGGTGTTAACATCTTTATCTTGAAAGGGGATTCATTTCCCCACAAATGCTTTGAAAAGGGAGTTTAACGCTGACAAAGACGACCTCAACATCTGCCTGCGCAGGCGCTGGACACGGGCTGATTCGTTAGATGATAAAAGGCACTGAGTGGTCTTTAAATTCCTGCTCTTGATTAGTGCCCCACAGGAAACCCCCAAGGGGACCCACCCGGGTCCCTGCCACGGGGTTTTCCATTTCACCCTCCACCACAGGAACCAGAGCCCGTCCCCAGGAGCTGCGGGCGAGCAGCAACCCTCAGCCACCCAGGAGCCCCCTCACAAGGGACCCACCATTTTTCCGCATTGACCTCCAGGTTTCCACTCCCCCGTTCAACGCATCTGTCACAGCTCAGCCACAAACGTCCCCTCCCTGACGCACGAGCCTTCAGGAGCCAGAAGCCCAAAAGATGCCACTGCCTGGAAATACCTGCCTGCGCCCCACAGGAGCCCCAGGGCTACCAGGGTGCAGCTGGGACACCCAGAAGCTTGCCAGCTGACCCTGCTGTGCCCCAGAAGCTGCGAGTGCCAGACCAGGGCTCCCAGGGACCCCGCACGGAGAAGTATCCTGGGAGCCAGTGACACTGGTCTGCGATGGGGACCGTCCCATCGCAGCGGGTGACGCTGTAAAGTCCTGCAACAACAGATGGGACAGCAACGGGGCTCTGCGCCCTGGGCCTGGACCATCCCAAGCCAAACGGGCAACGCAGCCTCCTCCACGGCCATCCTTCCCTGGAGGAGAAGGGATTAGATATATCTTCCCTTCTGCAACCCCTCCCTGGACCAGGTAGGTTCCAGCAGTCCTTGGGAAGAGTTTTGCAAGGCGGTGAGAAAGGAGAGCGCCGGGATGCTCGCGCGGCGGCAGGACCCGCCCCGCAGCCTCCAGAAGGGCTTTAGCAGCGTTTCACTGATGCCTTTCCAGATGTCTGGTGAAAATAAGAAGGATCAGGCTCTCCCCAGTGTACGCCGTGGAGATGTGTTGGCTTCCCTGGAGCTACCCCAGCTGACACCAGTGAAGCGCTGCCTTATAATCCTCCCATCTCTCCACAACCATCTGAAAAATCTCACCTAAACGTTTCGTCCTCAGCTGAGAAATGATTCGACACGCAAGCCTCTGGCTTCCAACCTGAGCAAAGACGCCCAAATGTAAAAAAGAAAACGTAATGCAGAGTGATCAGAGATCTCCACAGGAAAAATATCAGCCTTGTGGAAAGGCATATTGTTCCTAATACAGAATTTATCAGGCTGACGTATAGATTTTCCTCCACAAAATATGAAACCTGGATTTGAAAGGCTATTAACTCCGAAGAGATCCATTAAAGACGCCTGTCTGCAAATGGTGTTTAAAAGTATTGCATCATCCTAGGTATTGTCATGCTCTTTGGCTATGACTCGACTGCAGGTCACATAGTTAAAACTGCCTCCAAACCCTAAAATTCTTGACGTAAAGAAAATAATAATAATGTTCACCAGCCTAGAACATGGACTTTTCTATCAGCTCCAACCGGAGCCCATAAATATTAATGCATCCATAATTAGCCTTTTTAAATAATGCATCCAAAATTAAACATCAACGCAGTAATAAATCAGTCAGGGTTCTTTGTTGTAGGTTTGTCTGGCGGGGGGGGGGGGGTTGGGTTTTTTTTCCCC